TAGTTAAAAAGTTAAAGAGATCTTAAGATATATAATAATATAAATAAATTAAGTAGTCTTTAGAGGCTTACTTTAAAATTACTTTACTTAAGTAAGTAATAGTATAATACTTATATTTAATATAAGATAGTCTTTTAATTTTTACCCCTTAAGTATTAACTTAGAGTATTATAAGTGCTTTAGGCCCTAGATACCTACTCTAAAGGTACTAAAGGTAAACGTTATTACTATAGTCTACTAGTGTATTTATTAATAAGTAAAATACAGTTATAAACACTTATATATTTACTAGTAAAGTAAGGCTATAAGAAATAAGGCTATATAATAGCCTAAGGCAAAAAGAGAGAGGTTTATATTTAAGGAAGATAAGGTTACCTTTATATACTAGCTTCTTTATAGTTATATTCTTTTTAGGTGTTCTAAAGTAAAAAGTATAGTTATATTCTTAATACTATACCTTTGCTTTCTTAATTAAACCTTCTAAGGTAATATTAATATAAAATCTAAGAATAAAGGCTATGTTTTTTAGCCTAAGATCCTCTATACTTAGCTCTTTTATATTATTAAAGAGGTTCTTTATAATATATATACTATATCCTTTTATAAAGTAAAACATTATACTTAATTTAATATAATAATTATTTATATTTATTTTATAAAAGCTAGGCTTAAGAAGTAACTTATTATTTATAATATAAAAACCTCTATAGTTATTAATAATAGTGCTTTTACTAAGAGTATATAGGCTAATAAGTAAGGTTAAGAATATACTAAGAGTTAAAGGAAGTACTACTAAGGTTTTACTAAATAAGCAAAGGTTAATAGTAACTATAATAAGAGTACCTTATAAGTAAAAAAAAGTTAAGTCCTTTTTTTTTTACTTCTTTTATACTTTACCTCTAAGGTTTAACTATTTTAGTTTTAAAAGCTTTATAATAATAGCCTTTACTACTTACTTATTTAGGTTTACCTAAATAATCCTTAACTTACTAAAAAGTATATACTTAATATACCTATAGTTAATAAGTTTCTATAAGTAGTTAGGCCTCTTATAGAAGTATTTAAAGTACTACTTTTTATTTTATAGTTTACTTTTCTTTATAAGGGTTATATATACCTTTGTTACTTTATAGGATTTTATAAGTATTATTTATAGTAAATTACTTAGTAATTTACTATATTTTCTTAAGGTTATTTATTATCCTCTATATTATTTAGTCTTTATAAGGTTATTTAGCTTACTACTTACTTATAAGGGAGTAATTTACTACTTAATAGTATATAAGAAGGTCTTAATTAAGAGAGTGCCTTAGATCTTAAGGATACTATATACTTTAGCTTTTATTAAGGCTATACACTATTCTCTAAGCTAAGTAAATAAGTTATTTATTAATAAAGTATATATAAGAGTCTTATTATAATTACTATAAGCTATATTACTTACTATATTATAAAAAAAGTATATTATTATTTAATCTTTAAAATAGTTATATAAAAAGTAAAGTTAATATTATTATTTAGTAATTATAACTATATACTCTTTATAATCTTCTTTATAACTATAGTATTAACCTAGCTTAATAATAAGTTATTTACTTTTTACTATTTATATATTCTTAGCTTAGTAAAAAATAAATTACTTATAGTAATAATCTATTTTTACTTTATTACTTTATTATTAATAGTTAGTACTATTAGCTAGATAAGCTTTTAGCCTTATTACTTTACTTACTAGCTAACTAAGAGGTTATTTTAGCTTATAAGGTTAGCTTTATATTACCTTTAGTGTTTAGTATTTTACTTTATAATATATTTAGCTAGCGTAAGTACTCTTAGGTGCTTAGGAAGCTTCTGTTTACTATCTAGATTAATAAATTACTAGACTTTATATTAAGTAGTATAAAAGTAAAGCTTTATATACTAAGAGAACTAATTTTTATATATAGTTAAAAGGCTATAAAGGTAGGTGTTAGTTAGTAAACTTACTATTACTTCTAAACGTATTATAGGTATAAGATAAAGTTAAGAAAGAGTATTAGTTTTAAGAAAGGTATTTCTAAGTATATACTACTTTATAATAGTAAGAGTTATTATTACTTATAAATTAAGTTAAAGCTAGACTTATAACTATTATTAAGTAGTATATTTAGGGGGTAATTTATATAGTTAAAAATAGCTTATTTTTTTTATCTATAGTACTATAATCTATGTTCTTTAAATATTACCTTACTTAGTAAATTCTACTATAAGTATCTATATTTAGGAGCAAGGGTTAGATTAATAAGCAATATTGTTTCTAGAAAGCAGTGTTAGTTAGTAATATCCTATATTATAACTATTCTTAGAAGCCTTTTTTAACCTTTTTAAATAGTTAGTATTATATAGTAATACTTTATTTTAGCTAACTAAAAAGCTATAGTTAGTCTCTAAGGTTCTTTATCTTCTTTAGTATAAATTACTTTACTATAAATAAGGCTAATACTTAGCCTTCTATATTATAGGTATCTTAGGCTATATAAGTATCTTTAGTAACTACTTTAAGTAGTATTAATAATATTATTATTAATAATATTACTTTTTAGACTAGTAGCTTATTTATAAATAGCTTTATAGTACTAATAAGCTATAACTTAGTATATTTTTAGTTACTTTTAATATTATTAATAGTTAAACTAGCTAAGTAAGCCTTTTAATAATAAAAAAAAAGTTTTTTTTACTTATAATAATAAAGTTAATTTATTAACTAAGATATTTAAGCTTTTTTTAATATACTACTTTAATAAAGCTAGAAATTAACTAGTTAAGTAACTAAAAAATATAATAAATATATAGTAATAAAAATAAAAAATAAATATTATTAGTATAATATAACTATATAAAATTTATTATTATATAGCTTTTATATTTATCTAAGATAAAAAGTTTAGCTTAATTAAACTAAAAAGGCTTAGTCTAAAAAAAAGACTTTTTATAGCTATTTAATAATTATAATATTAGTAGTTTATTTGTTTTTTATTACTATAAACTTTTATTTATTATATAAGCCTAGATCTAAAAAGAACTATTACTACTAGACTATTTTATTTTTATATATAACTAAAGAATAAATAATAATACCTTTAGTAAATATATACTTAATAATAAATACTTAGGCTTATAATCTTAGCTATTTTTTTCTTATTACTTTTATTAAAGCTTTACTTAGTATTAGCTTATTATTACTTTTACTTTTAAGAATACTAGTCTTATTTATATTATATTTATTAGCTAGTTTAATAGCTTAAATATAAAGTATAATAAGATATTTAAACTAGTCTTTAATAACCTTAGTAAATACTTTATTAATATACCTTAAATTAATAAATTAACTTCTCTAGATCTTAATAAATAGGTTTTTTTAAATAAAGCTATTTATTTACTTTTTACTTAGAAGTTAAGTATTCTTTATAGCTTAAAGAATATAATAAATAAAGTCCTTTAGTTATTAATAAGTTAGTAAGTGCCTAAGGTTTACCTAGGTAGTTATTTAACTAGCTAGGCTAGCCTTTTAGCTAGTTAAAAGCCTCTAGAGGTCTTTAAATACTATTTTCCTTAGTTAAGTACCTCTTAGTTAATACTAGAGAATTATTTATAAGATACTATAAATAAAAGCTACCTAGATAATACTATAGCTATTTTTAATAATATTAATTACTTAATTAATCTTATTTTTAGTATACTAAACTATTAATATATAAAGAAGGTATTTTAAAAAAATAAAGTAATTTAATAAAGGTTAAAAAAAGTAGTAGTAGTTTAAAGTTATAGATATAGCTATTAATAAGGTAGCTAGGTAGTATTTTTAGTATACTAAAATATAGGGGGTACTAAAAAGTGGGTAAGTTGACTTATGGTTAGTTTTACCTATATATGTTTCTGCTATCTGGTCGCTTATTTGCTTGTTTACCCGGTAGGATTGTGAGACAGTAGTGACAATGAGAGCAGGAGTAACAACATGGACGCCGAGGGCAATAAGGACAGAAGAGATAATATATGGACTCTTCTCCGTATAGAAAGCCTCTCCAGTAAAAGGATAGAAGAGTAGTAAACTAGAAATCACATGCGATCCGGACTCAGAATATTAGAAACAAAGTTCACTTGTCCACCCACCATCATCCCTGAATAGCCCATGGCGCCATACACAGACCATCCGGGGGTTAACGCGACCCTTGGAAACCTAGCTTTTGTCACTGTGGCCTAGCCGTTACAGCTTGGGTTGAAGGCCGTCTCAAACCATGCTTCACTAGCGTCCACATCCGCCCAAACGCGCTGGCCTTGAGGGTTGGTGGAAGACCACGCAGCAAGGTAATCCGTCTGAGCTCTGGGGATGTGGCCAGGCCACGCAGCCCAACCTCCTGAGGCGCTGAACTGCAGGTCGAAATGGTATTAGAGCACGAAGTCGATCCAATTGGAGACGTACATCCATTTGTTCCAGGTGGCCTCGACCTTTGTGTACTTCGGGCCTGACAGTGGGCCGTGTGGCACGAAGTTGAGGTAAGTTGCGGAGCGTTTGCCGGTCGTCCACTTCGGTACCCATGCCTGGAGTGTAGGCGGGGGGACATTGCCGCCCATCCATGTTCCCTACTGTTGGTTCACTTCCCATTGCGTCAACGTGAGATTATGTTGTCTCTAATGTATGGCGCAAATATTGACATTCTTGGTATCGCAGGCCATTTATCTTCATTTGGTCCAGTTTATGCAACAGAATTGGTGGCCAAGTTGACACTGGTTAGTCTTTTTTGGGCAAACCACCTGGTGTGCGCCTGCTTCAACTAAAATAATCTGGAGACGCTTTTCGAAGCAGTGAGTAAGCTGACACAGAGTTATAAAGTGAATTGTACTGTGGCGCATTCTGTATGGAAATATCCTGTTCACTTGGGAAGGTTAAAACCTCGGTGGACAGCCCCCCACCGAGTCCTCTTCTATCCACATTCCTTCGAAGTCTTCATTTACGTCTGAGTATGGCTCTCATCGCAAAAGGCCTTGCGGCAAAACAGAGAGAGAGCTCTGAGTTTCAGATCGTCGACCAGGCCAAGAAGGAGTACAACCATCCAAGCAACTCCATTTTTCTACGCAAGTCTGGCATTCTCACAAAAGCTGTTGTGACGATCTTCTTCGCCATTGTGTTTTGGTTAAACACAAGATCATCCAATTTACATCCTGCGCCCACTAACGACTTCCAAGATTGTTTGAATAGAGTCTGTGGTGGCGCAAAACAATGCGCGAGATATTCAATCATAGGACAAGAGGACGTGTTCTTAGAATGGGTTACTCCATTCAACCGAGCTCGACCTGTCATTCCTGTTGCCGTTGTCCGACCCCGAAACACTGAGGATGTCTCTGGATTCGTAAAGTGCGCAGCAAAGCACAACATCAAGGTGCAAGCAAAATCCGGAGGTCATTCATATGCGTAAGTCTACCAAAACCACATTCCGTGAGATTACAACCGGTATCTGATAATACTTACAAACCATCTAGTAACCACGGTGAGTTCATAACAAGTTCAGCCTTCCGGCCAATTGATTAACAAGTTTGTTTCCTTTAATGCTTAGGATTGGGAGGACAGGATGGGTCTTTATCAATAGACCTTCAAAACTTGAGATACGTGATCGTTAACGAGACTTCATGGGACGCCACCATCGGGGCCGGCAGCTTGCTCGGTGATATCGACGAAATCCTGGAGAAAAAAGGAAACCGGGTGTTCCCTCATGGGGTATGCCCAGGTGTAGGGATCGGAGGACACGCAACAGTTGTAAGTCTGATTCTTTGCTCACTTTCCTGAAAGATAGAAAACCGATTAACGTTGACTAAGGGCGGCCTTGGTCCTTCATCCAGAATGTGGGGAGCTACCGTCGACCACGTCCTAGAGGTCAAGGTAGTGATTGCGAACGGGACCATCATCACACCAAACAGGAAGTCAAACCCAGACTTATTCTTCGTAAGTTGTAGGGTCTTTTTACCAAGGCAGGATGATCTAACGAAATTAGGCTATTAGAGGAGCTGGTGCAGGCTTCGGCGTTGTTACTGAGTTCAAGATACGAACTCACAAGAAGCCACCAACGACCATACACCTCATCAATCGCACACCGTATACTAAGCTCGATCAGATGGTTGAGCAGTTTCTAATATGGCAAAACCTTACGGGGGACCCGAATCTAGATCCGCGTTTTGGTACCGAGTTTGCCCTAGAGCCCCAGGGTTCTAAGATCACAGGAACGTGGTTTGGAACAAATGAGGATTTCAAGAAATCGGGAATCTCAGAAAGGCTTCCCGGCGGTCTTACGATAGTCGAATCCAGCTGGCTTGAGACCGCTCGCTGGCTATACGACAACGCCCAACTCTATCTTGCAGACATACCTACCGAGTTTCTATCTCGAAGCCTCGGACTGAGAGAGCAGGATCAGCTTTCACGGGCTGCCACCGAGAAACTCTTCAGAATGGTTAAAGAGAAGGCCAAGAAAATCGACGCTAGATGGTTCATCATATTCGATGCCACAGGAGGCGAGGTCTCAAAGCCTGCCATGAGTTCTACCGCGTACGCTCATCGTGATAAGGTTCGATTCTATCAATCATACGGCTATAGCCTTCGGGGGCCGTTAAGTGGACCCAAGGAGGAGCTTCTGATGGATATCCATCAGTTTATCATCGAAAACATTTCTGAGGGGCCGCACACAACATATCCTGGATATGTAGATCCATACTTGGAGAAGCCCCAGGAAACATATTGGGGATCTAACCTGCCCCGACTTCAGAAGGCCAAGACTGCATGGGACCCTGCAGATGTTTTTCATAACCCCCAGAGTGTCAGGCCATTGTTACCACCTCTAGTGCTGTTATTTGCATGCCGTAACCATGCTGCGCAACAGTTTCCCAAACCCAGATAACCCAAAATACCATCATCATATTCGTGCTGGCAGTTCGGGAACGCTTGTTGAGGATGAATCGAATTCAGTCCAAGAAGTGACCAAACAAGAAGTTAGCAGTGATCTGTACCACCGCCGAGATCAATGAAGACAAGGCTTGAGATGGTACGGAGAAGTAAATTGACGCATATGATCCTGAGTATGACCGCAAGAGGGCGGCGGAGAAACAGAATGGAAAGTCTTGATGAAGGTGCGACATCAGCTTTGAAGCCGGCGTTCGAACATCGGCCAAGAGGGTACAACCTAGCACCTTGAACATAACATATACGTCTTTTCTTACAAAAATGCAAAGGATTGCTAATAAAATCTCTAGCAGAGAAGCCAAAGTTGAGTTTAAAAAGGAAAATAATATGGGGTAGCATATTCAGCCAAGGCACCCTTCTGATAACAATGCCAAGGGTTTCACCATGTGAGTTATCATTGCGCATTTTCAGGTTCTCCGCTTGATGTTTTTTACCAAGGTACCCATATGAGGTAAAGCAAAATTGGAATTAGATTCATGTAAAACGGTTCAATCTATCACAGAATCTGACTCAGACTTAGGCTGGAAGTTATGAGGTCAAAGATGCATTCATTATAGCTGCACCTCTACACCTCCATTGGGAAATGCCAGTGCATTGCTTTCAAACATTAGAAGCGCCTTTATAGCAATTTGGGCTGCATAGACAAGGTGTCTGGCGTGATTGATTTCCTGAAACCTCTATTCAGGGTCTTTGTTAAAGACTTCTGGGGCCTTTGCAATGTAACACATCAAGCTTATCAAACCTTTTTATGGGCAAAGTAATTACCTCATGGAACTACTCAACCCACTTTTATCTTTGTTCTATCACTTGGGGGCCTATTAACTCTTGGGACTGAGGCCTTTCAAAGTGTGCACGCGTGACAGGGACGCAGCACAAGTCTAGCCTTTCAAGTCCTTCTTTTGACTAGACAGTCGCCAAGGCATACTGAGTGAGTCAATTTTGACAAAGTTGTAAGTGACCAAAGTATAGTATCATACAAACACAAAATTATCCCAATCTACTAACTGGAAGTAAGGAGGGTGGGACCATTAAAGGTCAGAAGCCAATTCATGGCAATTTTTCTTTGTGGAATGTGGCCTGGAAATGATCTCATATGTGCGAATCAAACAATAAAGCAATCAACTGTAGTTTTGGTGTATGGGGAAGTCATTAGAACCTTATCTGAGCCTCTGATTCTTTGCCTGTACTCGCAAATATGTTACACCTGCATCACAAGCAAGACTCTGAAGTTGCATGAACAATCAAGACTAATGTACCGATCGTTTATTATAGCCTGAGCTATCATTATATGAGACGCTTGGTCAAATATATACATTGAAACGCTCTACTTATTTAGACCCGTCCAGACCCCTCATAAGTGTAATGATTCGCTTCTATGCCTCTACTCCTGCACTGAAGCACTTACAAGCTCGAGGGAAAATCAATTCATATACAATTTTACAATGGAGCCAACTTTCAAGATCAGCATGGAGGCATCGACCAATTGCGATATAACCATGCAGACTGGATCGTACACAGCCCCAAGTGGACAGACCTGGGCATCTTGTGTTATCTTGTAGATACGAGTCACGATGTCCGACAATTTCGACGAAAAACATGAATTTTACTTCATAGTATGTAAGGCCTACACCATCTTTGTACTAGCAGCTGTAAAGCTAAAGCCTTGCGTGCGAAACAGAACTTTATTGGAAGGGATGCCGAGATGGTATCGGCCTAATCAAAAGAATCACTGTGTATGTCTAGGGTTTACCCAATAATAGACTACTCTTGATGATGCTTGGGGTTGAACTGGAAAAAGCCGCGTTATAGTATGCACTCATCCCGATGGAAGTTTGTCCACCTGCCAAAGAGGAAGATTGTAGCGCGATCATCAACTCATAGGATAACTGAATCAGATGAATGAGTAAAGTGTGGTCGGGATTGCTCCCATTCAATGCATCAACTTGTGGGCTACAGCATTTGACATTCACCTGATTTTCGATGACACGGGCTCCTTTATTTCGTTTTTTTTTTGAAATTTATACTGATTTGACTACATTCTTTATCGACGTTGCACTTTATCCGCCAAAGCACAACTAGGCAACCCAGGCCTATCAGCTGGAGGGCGATGCCTCAGCAAGAGACGGACTGATGAAAGAAAGTGTGTTAATGAGCGAAGTGTAGTGTCGCTGTAAATGCGAAAATCCCAGATGAGGCCTCATGAAACTTCGAAAGCATAGAGGAATAGAAAAGAACATTGTCAGATCACCAGCCCAAGTTAGCCATGAGGTTTCGGCGCTTGATGTTGCGGACGTGCCGGGTTGAGCGGGAGCCCCTTCGTGCTACACTGCTGGCGCCACTAGCGATGCCGCCAGCCGCTTTCCCTGCCGCCGCAGCTCCGCCAGTAGCGTCCTTGGCTTTCTTGGGGTCAGCGGAAGCGTTGTCCTTGGCCTTGAGTTTACCCTTCGCGTCCTTTGCATCCGGGGGAGGTGGTGGTGGTGCCGCCGCGGCGGTGCCATTCGCGGCTGCTGCAGGGGGAGCAGCCGCTCCCTTGCCCTTGGCATCTGCCTTGGCCTTTGCCTCAGGTGCCGTACCATTGCCGGCCGCGACATCCGGTGGAGGAGGGGGGGCGGTACCTTTAGCAGGTGGCGGGGGGGCGGGAGGTGCAGCTCCGTCAGCAGGCGGTGGCGGAGGAGCGGCAGAATCGGCGGGTGGCGGGGGCGGAGCGGCGGCATTGGCACCTGAAGCCGCATTTTCCGAGCTAGAGCCCGAGGCTTGGGGGTCTGATGAAGAGCTCTGAGAGCTGGATGAGGCACCATCAGCAGCCAAGGGAGCTGATTTAGCAGAAGATCCATCATCTAGATGAAGTTAGTTATTTACGTAATAAGAGGGGAGTAGTGTACGGACTTTGAGCTGAACTGCTAGCGCTATTTTGGGCAGACGCATCACCCGCATTCCCATTGGAAGCAGAGCCATCACCCGTGTTCGCATTGGAAGCTGAGCCATCAGTCGCATTCCCAGAAGCGGCACCAGCAGCAGGAGGTGCCGGAGGGGCGGCACCATCAGCCGGGGGTGGTGGAGGTGCGGCACCAGCAGCCGGGGGCGGTGGGGGAGCTGCACCAGCAGCCGGGGGTGGTGGAGGTGCGGCACCAGCAGCCGGGGGCGGTGGGGGAGCTGCACCAGCAGCCGGGGGTGGTGGAGGTGCGGCACCAGCAGCCGGGGGCGGTGGGGGAGCTGCACCATCAGCCGGAGGTGGTGGAGGTGCGGCACCAGCAGCCGGGGGTGGTGGAGGTGCGGCACCAGCAGCCGGGGGTGGTGGAGGTGCGGCACCATCGGCCGGGGGTGCCGGAGGAGCTGCACCGGCAGCCGGGGGCGGTGGGGGAGCTGCACCATCAGCCGGAGGTGGTGGAGGTGCGGCACCAGCAGCCGGAGGTGGTGGGGGTGCAGCACCAGCAGCCGGAGGAGCTGGGGGAGCTGCACCGGCAGCCGGAGGTGGCGGAGGAGCTGCACCGGCAGCTGGGGGTGGTGGAGGTGCGGCACCAGCAGCCGGGGGCGCCGGGGCAGCGGCGGCTGGAGATCCAGCATCTATGTAAAGTAAGTCGGGTGTTCGACAATCTTCTGTATGTAGCGGGACAAACTTTTAGGGTTTGCGGCAGCATCACTTCGGGCAGCTAAGACACTGCCACCACCTAGTCTTTGCACAAAGTCCCTTATATCGACATTTCGCGACCGGAACGAATCAATATCCACGGCTCGTTTAGTGTCAGCTGAGGACTCGATATCTCGACGAGCGTCGTAGTTGGCCGTCACCGCTGCATTGAAAAGCAGCGCTGCCACAGCGGCTTGGCGCCAGGAAAGAATTGGAGCCATCTTTGACCAGTGCTCCGGTCAGATATACAATAAATGCAAGAAAAAAAGCTTCTGGGACGTCAAGCCTGACAGAAGAAGAAGAAGAAATGAAAATTGCGGAATCTACACTGTAGATTGCGACAACTGTAAGGAGCAAATGGTGAGGATATAAAGGATATGATGAGTCTACAATATGAGTCCAACATGAGAGCAAAGTCGATGGACTCTGTCTAGATATAACTTTCCAATCCGAGGAGCATGTGGGTCGATGATGCTCCACCAGGGACAACCGGCTGAACTTGCTTTTTTGAAAACCGGTCACAGCGATCATCGACCAACCCAGACATTATGTGAACTGGGACAGGGGCCAGTTTGACACGGGCATCATGGGAGGGGCCGTGGTGGTGGGGGCGATATGACACCGGACAAAGCAAATAACGTAGTCGGACTGGACATGGAATCAAGCTAAGCCAGCAAAGCAAGGGGTGGCCGTTGAGAAGTTCACTTACGCAACCAGGGAATTTGACCTTCAAGGGCTTCCGGGCTTCAGCCTGGACGATAGAGACAGCGCCGTGACGAGCTTGGACAACTTTTTGAGAATCCAAAATTAGATACACATGTTGAGATGATTCAGGCTAAAGGGGTGATAGACAGTGCTCAGGGTCGATCGACAAGCCAGTCTCATTTCGAAGGGCACTGTCGGCTCTGATGACCAAGGCTGGAAGACAAGCAAGCTTAACGATGCCAAATATGCAACGGCCCGCGATGATTTGCGCTCAGATCCTGTCCTTGGGGAACTGGATACGTACGGGGGTTGCTATTGGTTTCGTCAAGCAAGGCATGTGGGGGTATGTTTTGTCTGTGGCCTCTATCAGAGGATGGGATATGTTGTGAGGTCAGTCAGACAGCTAGGGCTTCCCTGTGTGAAGCTGCCTCAGAAAGGCAACCCCCCTTTCGAACAAGGGTTTTCAGGGATCAAAAAGCATCGTGTGTAATTATGTCAATTGCGAAATCAATGAGAACTGGCCACAGAAAGCCGTTCAAGACGCAACCGTTTCAGCTACGGAACTTATCATACCCGGAGTGCCTCTACAACACCATCACAGCTTATGGCGCTCGCGAGTGGTGGGCGTGTCGTCACACCAAGTCGCAGATGTGTGCCAAAGAAGGGTAAAAGACATCGGATAACAGTAAACCTCACTAAGTGAAAGGCTCAGGCCTTATCGGACGACTATTTTAAAAGTCGATAGGCTCGTTTCACATTGTCTGTTTCGAGGCCACATAACTCGCTAGCAGAACTTCCATAGCGACACAATAGCGCCGTGATAAACCTTTAACAGATATAAACCAGCCCGTGCATCGTCTCGAATGGGCCACACTGCATGCCTGGAACAGGAACTCTCAACAGCCGACTGCTCTAGTTGGGAGTCGGGGTCATGGATGAATCGAATCCGATTCGGCAGCCCCGATCATCTGAATTCGCTCGTCTGTTTACACAAGCTGCATACGCATTCTTGTCGTCAGCTATTATTCCATCGTAACAATTATAGACAAAGATTAAATTAACATTCCGACGACATGCCCACAACCCTCGTTCCTCTGAAGTCTCGCAGAGTGGCAAATGCGCAATACAGGACAAAACATGCATGGTTTTTATTTTATTTTATCTTATTTTAAAAGCTTTTCAGCCAACGGCTCACCAGAGTTTCAAAAATGATGCTCGCGCTCTTCTCTGGCAAGCCACCAACTAACCGTAGCGGTCAGACACCCGCGAAACAGCGTGTGTATCTCTAGATAAATCCACAACGGGCCAAGGAGAGCATTAGACATTCGAGACCAGGGTGCTTCCGCATTCAATTGTATCAATGCAAGCCAGCTTTCAACGTAAGATTGACTCTCAGGCCGAGCGATCGATCAGCGTACTTTGTTTTTTGATTAGCAGGGAGATTCACTTATCCATGTCTATCAGGAAGGCCCGCTGATCAGCCAGGATCTTTCTCTGACGTACATTGTCGAAGATCGCCACAGCCACCTTCTGGTTGTAGGAGGACATATATCGCATGAGCAGATAAGTATCTTCAAGCTGCACCCACAAATCTACCCCAGCTATAGCTTCGATTATAAGACGGCAGTGAACGGTTGCAACCCATTATCGTCTGACCTAAAACCCCGAACATGAACCTGGGAAACCCGATTATCTGATGGCCCCATGCAACCTGCCAAGAGGAGATCGTGAACCAAGATGTGCAAATCCACTTTAATATGCAATTAACATAAGCTGGAAGGCAGCGCATAGGCATTGCGTAGAACAGACCAGCAAGACCCTTGGGAAGTTATCCTGGGATTTGTCAGGCCGCTCAGCAACCCCATTTCTCTCCTCCACCCCAATAAGAATGTCTCACGATCAACCGAACTATTTCTCTCGAATACGAATAGTAGTTCGGCTTATCTTAGCATCTTTCTCTCCTTCTTTATGGCGGGAACATCCAGTCGAACAGTAAAAACCAGCCTGTGAAGCAAGTTCCATAATGTTTCGAATAGCTAATCTGTATTGTCTACACCACCACATCGAAACTCGATGCCCCTGTTCTTTCCACGTGACTAAATTAACATTGGCAATGTTTCTTGTCTAAACTCTACGAGAGTGACTGCGGTAAATCGAACTCATGCTTGGTTCGTAAGAGCATACAATATAAGGTCATGCATGGCCATATTGAGAAGGAACCGACCATAATGGCTAGGTTTGCAGGTTCTCGACATATGACATGTCACCTTACCGATAGCGTATCCCAAATATCATTTGCCTAAATACTCATTTGACCTCAGGTTAGGCTCCATATGGTAGTACATGATCATATTTGAAAGGGTGGGGCCGGCACTTGCAACATCCCAACTCTAGCCTTCTGGACGCTATAACAGAGTCATTATACCGATATTGGTGAAACTTGGGGCGAAACCTCTTCTCCATTTGTTCCTCCCGTGAGTACCCGCTTTGGTTCCGCTAGCTCGTCCACGTTTCTCAAGTTGACAGATTACTTTGAAGTGATCGCACTTGGGTCTTCATCAGGGAATCCAGAATGCTTTATGCCACATGTCAGGGTCTTCAGGAAAGGATTCGACCAAAGGAAGAGGCAACGAAATGGAAATTGGAAATGTGTAGTAACCTGGCCATCTTACAAATGTGCCGCTTATCACATTGTGAGGCATAATTTTGTGCGTTCTCAGATCTAAACGTGAAAGCAAACTCCGAGCTCGTTCAAACTTTCGGCTCCGGACTTGACTCACATACAAAATGACACTCACCCGAAAATTTCCACTTCTGTAGCCACACTTCCGGGCTTCCAGCTGTCCGGCTATCCGATGGCTTCTCTTCTGGAGGGTTCGACGTGGTCCCGGTGGAGAGCATGTCGGCGGGAAAAGGCCAGACTTTTGCAGCCGCGCACGAGATGACACCCGGGTTGTGGCCTGTATGCAGTATGATCCGACACGCAAGTCCAGATGCTCTGATTCAGGCACATTTCCAAATACTTCAAGGCGGCTGATCCTAGTCATTGAAGCGCAGTTAGCTCGGACTTTCCGAGAGCGCTAGCTCCGTAGACTGAGGACCGCTGTAAACGGGGAATCCCCTCTATAGAATTCTACAATCACTGGTCATGTATCGTTGACATAAATGTAAGAAGTACGTCTATTAGGAATAGGATATGCCACAGAGGAAAAGTCTCGTGTACTTGCCGTGTCGATTACCCGCTTTTGACTTGGCCTTTTCATGTCTAATGCGAGTTTTGCCTGTACTGCAAAGACTAACCTGCGGCATCAGGGGATCATTCTGCATCTTAAACCTGGCTCAGCATGGCCGTAACTCCCCGCAATCCGCCGGATGAACCCAACCCCATCTAGCTCCAAGGCTGCTTCATCCTACCATATTCGTCCCATTATATTCGGACCCGCAGCATCATGCTCAAGACAAAATAACCACCAGGAGGAGTGCAGGCGGCGTGGTCACTGCGATTAAAAACCATCCAGCCTCAATAGTGACTACGGCAGTTCTTACGATTCCCAGAGCCATCGTACGAATAGAGATTTCGATGAATGCAGACAGCGAGCTCATCAAGCGGGCGGAACAAAAGTCACATTGCACACCATGAGGAAATAATCCGATCTATGATTTAGCTTGAGCGAAATGAAGATGAAGAAATGCCGGTCTCACAGTCAACCATTAGACATCAGACAAAGTGGCAATCTAGCCAGGACACTCTCGTCGGTTGAGACAAATGTCCAACTTCACTGAAAGGGGGACAAAGCCAGATCATCATCATCAATCACTCAGCCACCCTAACCACAGAGTAGAAATCCCAGATGCCAAGATTCTTTCGGTGGATACGAGTTATCAGACGCACCCCCCTTGTATCGAAGACATGCCTTTTGACGTTTTCGCACCTGACATCATTGCTACTATGGCTAGGCAACCGCCAGTCTCTGATACTGCCTGAAGCATCATTGCAACAGTGACGGTACTAAATGAAAACGTCTCCGCTCAGGTTGTACTGACTATAGCAAGGCACCCCAGCAGAACTTTCTGTCTGAACCCCTTTTGTCTGAATGCTGAGGCGATGGTGCCGTTATGCCATAGGTCTGCAAGTGTCTGTCCCCGGTAAAACGCCCCTGAGAGCTACGGGGCATCGATCGCAAGCACCCTGGGATCGATGAATGAAGTCTTTAGTGGCCACGGCTCCGAATTCTACTCCAAAAAAATAAAAAAAAATACAAGCGTGTGATACGAAGTGGTCCTCGACAACCTAGTATGAATAATCCTAGATGTTGTTGGACGCCCAAGAAGTTTGCTGCCTCCTTGGAAATGTCCTCCAACAAGTCGATACCCCTCAGTTCCGCAGCTCTTCACACACCGACATCTATCAATCATCAGATAGATTCGCTGCCTCCTCCAGTAGCAATCTGAGCCCGCAATTAAGCGATGTGCCATGTCGCCAACATAGTATTCGAGCCGGTGAGTAACTGTTACC